TTTGGAAAACTAAAACAATATTTAAAACATACTCTTTAATTAAATAAACTTATTTAAGAGCTTGTTTGTTTGAAATCCAAATATCCACTTCCAGCCCTGCATTATCGTAATGCCAATTTATGGTTAATGCACTGGTTTCTTACGGACCAAATATTTGTGGATGCATGACAAATGAATACCGAACAACTAAAATTCTTGTCCAACAACCTCGACTATGTTTACTGTGTAAAGACTTATGTGTGTATACAATGAGTAGGCTCTAGTACACAACTGTAAGACAGGAAATCTCACCTCGACCAAACAAATGGCTTATCCTACTCAATGACCTATTAACTCATGATCTATAAACTGACTTTATCTATATATAATGACTACATTCTCAGTGATTATACACATAAGCGATAATTTTCAATGAAACTTCCAGCAAGGGGTTGACACCTGAATATTTAGCTTTAGATTACTAACATGATTACATCAAAGTTTCAGAACTCAGAACACTGCCATATGCAGCACCCTTTGGTTTCAAAACCTAATTTAGAAAACATGCAATCAACCTGATTAAAATCAGATCTTTATATTGTTGAAATTTAAAAATCCTGTCATTTTAGAGCTAAATGGCATCTACAAAAGGAAGTACATATGTACCATCAAAGGATTATATGTCTTCTGCATGGCTTTCGTTCATCAAAATCAGAATTTCTGAATTCAGGCAAAAGGAAAGTAGCTGCATGATTACCATGGACATCGTGGAGGGGGACATTGTGGAGGGGGACATTGTAGAGGGGGACATCGTGGAGGGGACATTGTGGAGGGGGACATTGTGGAGGGGACATTGTAGAGGGGGACATCGTGGAGGGGGACATTGTGGAGGGGGACATTGTAGAGGGGACATTGTAGTGGGGGACATTGTGGAGGGGGACATTGTGGAGGGGGACATTGTAGAGGGGGACATCGTGGAGGGGGACATTGTGGAGGGGGACATTGTAGAGGGGACATTGTAGTGGGGGACATTGTGGAGGGGGACATTGTGGAGGGGACATTGTAGAGGGGGACATTGTGGAGGGGACATTGTGGAGGGGACATCGTAGAGGTGGACATTGTGGAGGGGACATTGTAGAGGGGGACATTGTGGAGGGGACATTGTAGAGGGGGACATTGTAGAGGGGGACATTGTGGAGGGGGACATTGTAGAGGGGGACATTGTGGAGGGGACATTGTAAAGGGGGACATTGTGGAGGGGACATTGTAGAGGGGGACATTGTGGAGGGGACATTGTAGAGGGGGACATTGTGGAGGGGACATCGTAGAGGGGGACATTGTGGAGGGGACATCGTAGAGGGGGACATTGTGGAGGGGACATTGTGGAGGGGACATTGTAGAGGGGACATTGTGGAGGGGGACATTGTAGGGGGACATTGTAGGGGGGGGGGAGATTGTAGAGGGGGACATTGTAGAGGGGGACATTGTGGAGGGGACATTGTGGAGGGGGACATTGTGGAGGGGGACATTGTGGAGGGGGACATTGTGGAGGGGACATTGAAGAGGGGGACATTGTGGAGGGGGACATTGTGGAGGGGACATTGTAGAGGGGGACATTGCGGAGGAGACATTGAAGAGGGGGACATTGTGGAGGGGACATTGTGGAGGGGGACATTGTAGAGGGGGACATTGTGGAGGGGACATTGTAAAGGGGGACATTGTGGAGGGGACATTGTAGAGGGGGACATTGTGGAGGGGACATCGTAGAGGGGGACATTGTGGAGGGGACATCGTAGAGGGGGACATTGTGGAGGGGACATTGTGGAGGGGACATTGTAGAGGGGACATTGTGGAGGGGGACATTGTAGGGGGACATTGTAGGGGGGGGGAGATTGTAGAGGGGGACATTGTAGAGGGGGACATTGTGGAGGGGGACATTGTGGAGGGGGACATTGTGGAGGGGGACATTGTGGAGGGGGACATTGTGGAGGGGACATTGAAGAGGGGGACATTGTGGAGGGGGACATTGTGGAGGGGACATTGTAGAGGGGGACATTGCGGAGGAGACATTGAAGAGGGGGACATTGTGGAGGGGACATTGTGGAGGGGGACATTGTGGAGGGGACATTGTAGTGGGGGACATTGTGGAGGGGACATTGTAGAGGGGGACATTGTAGAGGGGGACATTGTAGAGGGGACATTGTAGAGGGGGACATTGTAGAGGGGGACATTGTGGAGGGGACATTGTAGTGGGGGACATTGTGGAGGGGACATTGTAGAGGGGGACATTGTAGAGGGGACATTGTAGAGGGGGACATTGTGGAGGGGACATTGTAGAGGGGGACATTGTAGAGGGGGACATTGTGGAGGGGACATTGTAGAGGGGGACATTGTAGAGGGGGACATTGTGGAGGGGACATTGTAGAGGGGGACATTGTAGAGGGGACATTGTAGAGGGGGGCCATTGTGGAGGGGACATTGTAGAGGGGGACATTGTGGAGGGGGACATTGTGGAGGGGGACATTGTGGAGGGGACATTGTAAAGGGGGATTTGTGGAGGGGGACATTGTGGAGGGGGGAGCTACATGATGTACATATTTACTTGTGACTGACTTGCTTGCCATGGGTAAGATTTATTATCCAATCAGAGGTAGAAACTAACAGTTTTAGTCCACTAGTCCTAACAATGATCACATATAGCTAAAGCTTTAAAATAGCAAATTTCTACTAGTCTTTATATTCCTGAACTATTGGGCAGTTTGGCAAGGATGACAGGACTAGTGCAAGTTTCTTACTCTGTCCGATGATGACACCCTAATCCCAAAGAGGTAGAAGGCCTGATTTCTTATGCAAACATGGCATCCTTTTTCTTAGTAATGACTTTTTTTATTACTTTGTATCACATACTAAAGCATGTCAAGTGTAAGCCAACATGTCGGCATGATAGTACCACAAGTGAGTCACTTCAAGTTCAAGGAGCTTTGATTCAACACATCTACCATCTGTTCACATCAATGTTTCTATCTGTGTAACTTAAGGATGGGCTCTCAAACATCCTTTTTGTTCATTCATGTTAGACTGACAGGGTGGAAATCATAATTTGCTATAAATGCATAGATAATGAGAAAGGGACCATGAACCCTTGAGAGGTGGATGTAGACTTCAGAAAGCCTGAATAGGCTGTAAAATTGACACAATGAAATGCACTAGAATGTGGGTAGTTATCTTGCCACTCATCATGCTCATCGCTGAATAATCAGAGCTTTTTCACTAACAACCACAACCTACAACAGTTTTACAATTGTACACTAGTCACATAAGAGCATATTAGCAAACCAGTTCATCTAGTCACACCAAAGTGTATTAGAGAAACTGTTTTTTTATAGTAACTTCAAAAAGCACACCTTGGCCATTTTTTCCATTTACAACGATCACTCTAAATATGAGTGGTGATAGGCTTGTGGTTAATGTGTTGGCTTGTCATGTTAAAGACCCGATTTTAATTCTCCACATGGTACAATGTGAGAAGCCCATTTTTGCTGTCGCTAACTATGTCCTGTCCATCGGAAGCTCCGACAGGCCTTGTAAAAAGGCCAGACACACAACCAACTCAGAAATAGATTCCCATAATTTGTACGACCCTGTTCCTGAAACAAATCAACTGACAAGACTGGTGAATTTTGATAATAAGTAACCAAAAAAACAAACAACTTTGAGGACTGATTCATCAATAACCATGGCAACAACTTGAAGATGTGGGCATCACTGAAGTAGGGATTCTGATCATTTGGCTAAAATTAATTCATAAGCATAACTTTGTTTACCAAAAATGTTCAAATAAAGAATACCCACTGCAAAGTCTTGAAATGCCAGGTCCTCAATAGGACAAGGACTGATGCTGTCCAAGATGTCCGTAGCAGTATTTAGATACATTGACATTTTCTTCAACAGACAAGTGATCATGAACAGTATTTGAAGATTGTAAACAATCTAAACAGAAAAAGAACCAACTTTTCCTGGGCATATTTTCTACATAGTACATATATATATGAACACTTAACACAATTTAATATACTTGTAAATAAATGACAGTCGATGCCAAACAAGATACCTTCACATATTACAAATTCAGAAAGGTGTGCATCAAAATTGTATGCAATCCAAAATATGTCTATAAATAATAGAAGCCTTTATCAAACCGTTCATACCAGTGATAGGATTACATTTACTGTTTTCTCTTTTACAAGTGTGCCAAAGATGTTAAGCTGTGCCCTTTGGAATTTAGCATGCCAACAAGAACAGCCATCATTCAACTCGGTGAATGCCATGTAACCAAGGCAAGATAATAAGCAGTTGTAAGTATTAATGTCTACCCCTTGGCTTTTTGCTCAGCTCGATATCTCATTTCTGAATAACCAAATGTATTTAGTGAATCATACTATGCATTAAGCGTGTTCACACATTCATCATTTTCAATGTGTTTGTCACGTTTATCTGCGGTTTGATAAAATAAACATTGTCAATAGGTATTGTTGTTAAGCGTGCCCTTCGGGCATTGGGAAGTTATTTTAACCACGCCATCGGCACTAAAATACAGAATTTTGAACTCTGTCAACAAAGGATATTACTTTTTGGACGGAAAAAAGCGTATCACAACATTCATGCTTTATCGGTGATTTAAGGAAAACTGACAAAATACTTAAAGTCACACAATTCATATAACACAGACATACATACAAATTCAGCAATATATGTCAAAGAGAGAAAAGAATCAAAACAATGGCATGCCGAACATAGTAAAACATAGCTGAACATTCACCTGTTAAATAAGACGTGATCAGGACACTTATGAGTAGTTATTGCAATGACAAGGACAGGTCAACATTATGCAGCCAATTTGTATAGTATTCATTTGCATAAAATTAAATCTGTCTTTATCACTAAACAGTCAAGGGAAAAACACTAAAAAATGTGAAACCATCAAAAAAAACAAATAAAATTGGAGAAAAATCACAAGTTACCTAATGTTGAAGAAGGTTGAAAATGTCAACAAACGAAAGAGTCCTGTCTTCGGGAGCTGTGTTGGCAGCCGCTTTAGACAGTGTCGAAGCATGCAGGTTAACTGCTCATAACAACAACACTATGAAAAAGTTGACAAAATTAAATGTCACACCATTGCATAATAGTGTTATAACCCCTACAGGAGCATAAGAGGGACCTGAGATGGCCTGGCCTGTCTCCTTCGACCTTACTTGACCCGAATCGCAAGGCCCGGTTAGAACATGGAGGGTTGAGTAACAGCAAGGCTCGCCTGCCTGCTGCCTGCTAGCGACGTAACAAGCTCCAAGCCAGGTCTGCGCACTGCTAAGAACATATGATCAATATAGCCTCGGCGAAAAAAATAATTTACCTCGTTCTCATGGCCGTGTGTTTGTAAACTCTGGAAAGTGATGCTGTTTTGTAGGATAGTCGAGAAAGATTTCGTCCGCTGCCACAGGATCACATAAAGTTATTTCGGGTCATTCAGTCGCCGTGTCAGCGTGACCTTCTGGGCTACCTACTTAGCAGAGGGTCAACCACCGCGCTTTAGGCGAGAGATGGCCGCTGCCCACTCGCTATGCAGCTATGACACGTCACTAAACACATATAAACCAAATGCACAACCCATGTTAAAAGCATGCATCACAGTTAAAAGAATTGAGATATACTTACAAAGTCGAAAGTCGATTTGCACGTAAGTACCACGACCGATGGAAGTATGTAGGTCATGTGTTTATCGGGAGGTCAGTAGAACACCTAAGGTGACGGGTTCACCTCACGGTCATCTAATGACCAACCAGCCATCTCATTAGCGGCGCGTTACGCCCAATATCAGATTGCAACAGTACTAGAATCTATCTGTACTCAAATCAATTGTCCCTATGCGTTCGAAGAGATTCTTTTCCTCGAGACTATATTCGCGTAGACTGACAACCGCATCACTGCTTTGCTTGAGAACTACTTTTCGATTGTACTGATTGCTATCAAACCCGTTGGCTTGAGCATGCATGACTGCGAAAATTCATGTTAAAACCCGACATGTCAGTCACATAAATGAAATATCAAGGCCATACCCACCCATGCATGAATATTCATGAATGATCGTTTCTCAATTTATTATGCTCAGTAATTAATATGTTTACATGTGGCATTGTTTTATTCGACAAATGTGGCCTTGAAGAGCAGACACGGGAAGGAGGAGTTACGATACATTAGTGAGCCAACGATCACAGATCCGACACGCGGCTACTGTGGAGGGGCATTCGCTTCATCCAAATGCGGCCATAAAAAGTGTCTGAGCTATTTATATTCTGGGTTGTCCCAGTGCACGAGGATTGCGCTGTCTTGGTTTGGTGCATCCAAACATGATTACACTGATGATGTAGCCTCATAGATGTAATTCAATATGCTATATATTCAGTTCCGTAAAAGATGTCAGTGGGGGGAAAAACTATGTATCGTGAAACATATGTACGAGTAACGGTTGGTTTAGAACTCTCATGATATATTAGAACAGAAAATGTTAATTACAGATTTGTTACCCACCCCAAGATTTCAGTACAGCTTGCACATTATTTCCATAAAGGACAGATATAGATAAATGTAAGATCCTTGTCATTTTTAATATGTTGGCGGAACATGACAAAATTAACAGTGCATGTGATACATTTGTATACTCACAAAAATAACATGATTGAAATTTAAGACCTTACATTTAGGGCAGAAAACACGAAAGAAATAGTAAAGTAGAGTTTTCAAATTTTAGGGACAGCAGAGAGCTTTCAGTAGGCGTTTTCTACCCCCAACTTTGATGTGTCATAATTGTTTGGTGTGGCCATCAATATTTGCTAATAAAGTAGCTGAGTTACATACTTTCAATGTTCAAAGCGGCGTTAAACCCAACTCACTCACTCACTCACATTTTCTCAATGCCTTTCTTTTATTCGAGTAAAGTACATGTATATTAATGTAATAGACAAAGTTCGAGTACAATTAGCGCCATACTTTGTTTTATGTCATTATCGGTGGTTCGGGCGAATCCAGCACTTTCTTTTGGAGGGGTCCATAATATCAAAATCCTCTCACAGATAATTTTACTGGCTACAACATGCTACATTTTGGAGTCAAAACAGTTGACGCAGCTTATACCGCTCACAAATCTTTGCAAACACCGTAGAGTTCGCGTTCAATTCTGTCATCGTGGAATGGAGATAAACAAAAAAAAAATTTAAATTGAGAGCAATGGTACCTGGAGATTTGACAGCGCTTAATTTAACACATGAGTGAGTGAGTGAATACGGTTTTATGCCGCTTTTAGCAATATTACAGCAATATCACGGCGGGGGACACCAGAAATGGGCTTCACACATTGTACCCATGTCGGGAATCGGACCCGGGTCTTAGGCGTGACGAGCGTACGCTTTAACCACTAGGCTACCCGACCGCCCCTTTAACACATGAAAATTCACGCGGCGCTTTCGGTTCCACATTCAGTATAACGCTTCAGTCAAATCTACAGGTTGGTTGGTTGGTTGGTTGGTTTGTTGTTTAACGCCGCACTCAGCAATATTCCAGCTATATGACGGCGGTCTGTAAATAATCGAGTCTGGACCAAAAATCCAGTGATTAATATCATGAGCATCCATCCACGCAATTGGGATCGATGACATGCATCAACCAAGTCAGCGAGCCTGACCATCCGATCCCGTTAGTCGCCTTTTACGACAAGCTTAGTCACCATTTACGGCACGCATAGGTTGCTGAAGACCTATTCTACCCCGGAATCTTCACGGGTCCAAATCTACAGGAATCATAGATGTATAGGAGAAAACACTATGTGTTAACCAACGAATTAAGAATCCACGATGTCGACGTGGGAAAGGTATTACCTCGCTACACACCCGTCTACGAAGCTTGCATTGCACAATGTAACGGTTTCAGTGATGCGTCATGACGTCATGTGTTTATAACGCATTGTGACGTCATAATAACAAACGTCTCGGTTGGGCTACACAAACGGGCACCTGTAAGCAGACATTTCGTTGTTCTCGACATCACTTGGGAAACATAACGTACGCTTTCTTTAAACAAATACTGAAACTGTTTACAAACTTCGAGCAGTATAGATACAGTTCATCATTCTTCACTCTTCTTAGTCAGATTTTATTTTTAAACTTGGTTTACGAATCCGTCGACACCAAATAACTGAAATCTGAAAAAAGTATTAAAAAAGGTGAAAAGCACTGGGGTTTTCAATTCCAGAAATTTGTAAAATGTTGTTTTTTTAAACAAAAACAAACACTTACTGTCGCCATCAATGTAAACATATTATTTATTTTTAAATTAAAACCTGTTGAAAATGTATCTTAAAATCTTCAAAACACTGTGAATTGTGAGGAATCACGAGAGAAAATTAATAGATATATTTGTAATTGGAAATTTTTATGTATAGTTTGTATATCAACCTACGGACCCCTACCTAACATGGACACTCATGCACTGTAATGTGTGGCGATTTCTAAATTTTATTTGGGTACTCAAACTGACATGGGCCTCCTGGGAATTATTTTACATATCTGTTCCAGAAAATGCTTGAAAAATAATAATTTGTCCTCAGGTTTAAGCCCCACATCCTGACGGTCTGTCCGCAGTGCCAAAGACAGTCACGTCCTGCCTGTGTGTCCGCAATGACAGAGACAGTCACATCCTGCCCGTGTGTCCGAAGTGACAAAGACAGTCACATACTGCATGTGTGCCCACAGTGACAGAGACATTCACATCCTGCCTGTGTGTCCGCAGTGACAGAGACAGTCACATCCTGTCTGTGTGTCCGAAGTGACAGAGACAGTCACATCCTGTCTGTGTGTCCGCAGTGCCAAAGAAAGCCTAATCTGTCTATGTGTCCGCAGTGACGGAGACAGTCACATCCCGCCTGTGTGTCCGCAGTGCCAAAGACAGTCACATATTGCATGTGTGCCCACAGAGACAGAGACAGTCACATCCTGTCTGTGTCCGCAATGACAGAGACAGTCACATCCTGCCTGTGTGTCCACAGTGTCAGAGACAGTCACACCCTGTCTGTGTGTCCGCAGTGACAGAGACAGTCACATCCTGTCTGTATGTCCGAAGTGACAGAGACAGTCACATCCTGTCTGTGTGTCCGCAGTGCCAAAGAAAGCCTAATCTGTCTATGTGTCCGCAGTGACGGAGACAGTCACATCCCGCCTGTGTGTCCGCAGTGCAAAAGACAGTCACATCCTGCCTGTGTGTCCGCAGTGACAGAGACAGTCACATCCCGCCTGTGTGTCCAGTGACAGAGACAGTCACATCCTGCCTGTGTGTCCACACTGACAGAGACAGTCACATCCTGCCTGTGTGTCCGCAGTGGCGGAGACAGTCACATCCCGCCTGTGTGTCCACACTGACAGAGACAGTCGCATCCTGTTTGTGTGTCCGCATGCAGTGACAGAGAGACAGTCACATCCTGTCTGTGTGTCCGCTGTGACAGAGACAGTCACATCCTGCCTGTGTGTCCACACTGACAGAGACAGACACATCCCGCCTGTGTGTCCGCAGTGCAAAAGACAGTCACATCCTGCCTGTGTGTCCGCTGTGACAGAGACAGTCACATCCCGCCTGTGTGTCCGCAGTGACAGAGACAGTCGCATCCTGTCTGTGTGTCCGCAGTGACAGAGACACTCACATCCTGCCTGTGTGTCCGCAGTGACAGAGACAGTCACACCCTGCCTGTGTGTCCGCAGTGACAGAGACAGTCACATCCCGCCTGTGTGTCCGCAGTGACAGAGACAGTCGCATCCCGCCTGTGTGTCCGCAGGGACAGAGACAGTCACATCCTGTCGATCTATCCGCAGTGACGGGAGCAGTCACATCCTGTCTGTATGTCCGCAATGACAGAGACAGTCACATCCTGCCTGTGTGTCCGCAGTGACAGAGACAGTCACATCCTGAGTGAGTGAGTTGGTTTTAACGCCGCTTTTAACAATTTTCCAGTTATATCGCGGCGTGTCAGCTTAATGTGGGTGGAAAGTCGAAGTGATGCAGGTATCAGACGTTTACCATATCGGTGAAACCAACGAGCCCGGGTATGGTGCTTACAAACCCAGAAACATAATCGGGGGGAACCAGAATTCGAACCCACAATCATAAGTTTCTGGCGTGCCCAAGCGACGCAGCTCTGCACAACGAATCGCGGCGCCTTTAGAAGACGACTGGGCCGTCACGCTCGTCACGCCGAAACCTCGGGTTCGATTCTCAACGTGGATGCAAAG